TGGGACTACAATGCGATGCAGGACACGTGGAGTGTTAATCTGGTTTGCGAGAGAGAGATGGTACGGGAACTGATCATGCTGGGAACTATTGGAAGCGGGATGACGGCTCGGGTGAAAGCTGCGCTATCTATCACGGAGCAACGTTTCTACGCAGTGAAAGTGATTGGCAAGGGGACGATCTGGAAGCACGGGCGGATGGGAGGACATCTAGGCGGGGGCGTGGTTAGTCGTGCCGGAGACTTGACGATGGATTGCTTGCAAGAAGCGATGGTGCTGAAAGACTTGAAACATGAGAACGTTGTTCGGCTGTACGGTGTGTTTGAGAGCGAAGAGCTGGAGAGGTTTTACTATGTAACTGAGTACCTGCCGAGCGGACCTGTGATGAGGTCGCACAACTTACAGACGGAGAAGCGACTGAGCGAGGATAGAGCGCGCTCTGCGTTTGTGGACGTATTGGCAGGGCTGGAGTACCTGCACAGCAAGAATGTTGTGCATCGAGACATCAAGCCAGACAACCTGCTGAGCAGCGGTGATGGGACAGTGAAGATCAGCGATTTCGGGGCTGCGATCATGTATAGAGACGGGGCAGAGGCGACAGGGGAAGAGGAGGAGGAGAAAGTTAAAGAAGAGGGGGAGGACGGGGAGGAGAAAGAGGAAGAGAAAGAGGAAGAGAAAGAGAAAGAGAAAGACGAAGACGAAGACAAAGACGAAGACGAAGACGAAGACGAAGACGAAGAAGAATGCAGAGTTGGGAAGCGAGTGAGAGGAGGTGGAAACGTGGACATAGGGACGCCGGCGTTCACTGCGCCGGAACTGTGTATCAGTGAGCATGCGCCAAAGCGTCTAGAGCGGTGTTTTGCAGCGGACATATGGTCGCTTGGGGCGACGCTATTTTACTTTTTATACGGTCGACCACCACATGTGGAGAAGACGGTGCTCAACATGTACGATGCGATTTGCACGGAAACTCTGTTGTTCCCATCGTACCCTGTGATTCCTGTATCGCTTCAGACTCTGCTACGACGGATGCTGACGAAGAAACCGGAAGACAGGGCCAAGATCGGGGAGATTATCAAATCCCCTTGGCTCGTGCAAGATGCGCTGATTTCAGAAAAGGTTAGCACGCTGCGGAAACGGGTGGAAGGCAAGACGAAGAGAAAGGGGTGAGCAAAAAGCATTGGACTGTTTTTGTGATCACGTTTCCGGGGGATGGGCTGTCAATCAGTTTGGGATCAGTTTGGGGGGACGATGCTGGGACGGATGACTTTTTTTGTTTGTTTTTTTGTCGAGTCGAAGGCAGAAACGGAGGCGGGTTTCGTGTGTTGTACAGTAGTTGATGTTTTCGGTGGTGGGGTGGGGGACACGGGGGTGAAGAGGGGTGTTGCAGGGGCAGGTGCTGCAGTTGGGGCTAGTCAGAAGCGGATAGTCAGAAGCGGATAGTCAGAAGCGGATAGTCAGAAGCGGATGAGCGTTGTGACGTCACGTGCCGCGGCGTGCCACGGGGGGAGGCAAGGGCAGCGCGGCGCGGTGCGGCGCAGTGCGGCGCGGCGCAGCGCGGCGGGAGCCTCGGCGGTGGGCGCCGGCTTGCAACGTGAAAGTGAACGGAGGTCGGTGAGGGTGAGTTGGTGGTGGTGTTTTGTTTCACTGCTTGTTTCACTGCTTGTTTCACTGCTTGTTTCACTGCGGAGTGGAGGGGAAGGGGGCTGTACCGGAATGGCTGTAATGACTGTAATGTGATTGTGATTGTAATGCACGGTAGGTGTACTCGAAAGAGGGCGAGCGGGCGGCGGTCCTCTCCCGTTGGTTCGCGTTGCGTTGCCCTCGGTTTATTTTTAGTCGGGTCGCGAGAAAGGGGAATAAAATATCGCGTGGCGTACGCGGTGGGCCCACTCGGCGCGCGCGAAACAAGCGAATGTTGGACAAGCGACGCGACGTGAAGGCCCGCCTCTTCGCGCCGCCAAGCGAACCCATTTGCAAGCCGAACACCAATCCCCCCCCGCCTCCCGGCGCAAATGCCGCCGCGCGGGCCCCCCCCCCTTCCACATCCCGCCTTCCACATCCCGCCCTCTCGCCCGAAATCTCCCTCTCGAGATCCCCCGCCCGTCCCGAACCCCCTTTTGATAGCACAAGTGCCGATGCGAAGCTCCCGAAAAAGCATCTAAGCATAAAGCTTTACGTCATTATTTGCAAAGACAATTGAGTAAAGAGTAGACGTCCTTGTTCAGTCACTAAGACGAAAATGAACATTTTTTCTCTACGAATATAGCCTTCAACGAGGAGGTACAGGGGCCCTCTTTTTACGAATATGAGAATAATTCTGTCATTATTATTTAAATCTCCTGCCTTGTAGTGTGACGATACGTGGGAACGACGGCAGAAGCCCGCTTTCAGCCGTGTTTCGAGAATCCTCATAAACCGAGCAGTTGGTCATGACGACTGGACCATCGGCATTCAGAGTGTGTGCTGTTCGTCAGAGCGCACCCAGGGTCTATTCGACCGACCTTGTCCTCACATGAGGACACAATTTATTAGACTCCCGCTACACCTGATTTTTTTGGATTTGGCAATTTGCACGTTTATGGCCTGGCCACGTGTACTCGTACAGCACATGGTTCTGTTCTCCTTCCTTCAATTAA